TATCCACTATTGCATAAGTCACAAGAATCTTTTTTTGAACATTATTCGCAATTTGCAATACAATTAATACACCTACCTGCATCAACACACTAGCCTACTTTACATTTACTACAAGAAACACCATCAGTGCATTCTAAACATTCAGACATACATTCATTAGCATAAATTATAAATTCGCTTATACCTATAGATTCAGTATTTGGACCTTCATCCGAGTTATTAGTAAATAAAACTTCAATATTTTTATCACTGGTTTAGTATACAAAATTAGCAGATTAAGTTGTATCAGGTGAAATAAATCCACATAAACTACTATTTGCATTAACTTTTTCTGCACGAAATGCCTCATTTCCATTTATAATAACAATTAAAAATTCCCCAGAATCCCATGAATCAAGCATCATAAACATAAAAGTTAATTAATAACTGTATACAGGATTAATTGATTAAAATTTATTGCTTATAATACAATCTTTTGCACATATATTGTATCCTCCTAAAAGATTATATTAATTACATTAAGAAATGATAGAATCTCCGATATATCCTTCCATTTAAAAAACCACAGTTTTAAACATCTTATAATGTAAATTAATTGAATAAACATTTTTATAATTGTTTTCTTGTTTAAAAAGATAAAAATATCTTTAATAATAATAAAATAATTTTTATCATTATATTTAATTTAAAATACATCAAAGAAATTTTTTTAAATAATATTTAATTTTTTATTATAATATTAAATAATATTAAAATATTTTTTTTGGAATATAAATAAATAAAAATTTAAATTTTTAATTATATATTTATATAATTATTATCAAATATTTTTATTTACATTAAAAAAAGATATAAAAAATTAATATAATATATATATATATTGAATATTTTTATCTTTAATAAATTATATCTATTAATATACTTTTTTATTTTAAATAAAATAAATTTTAATCTTAATATTATTGCCATAAATATATAAATTAAATAAATTTTTAAAATATATATATATTATTTTAAATAAATAAAAAAAAAATTATATTTAATATAAAAATAATAAAATAGTATATAATTATTATTATTTTTTTAAAATTTTATATTATTTATAATAGTTATTTAAAAAAAAAATAATGTATATTTTTCTTTAATTTTTATTATATAAAAATATATAAATATAAATTTAAATCTTTCTTATTTTTGTACAATTTTTTTAAAATAAAAATAAAATAGAAAATATCAAAAATAAAAAAAAAAATTAAAATAAAAAATAAAAAATAATAATATTATTATATTAATATATATAAAAAAATATATATATATATATTTAGCTAAATAAAAAAAATAATAAATAAATAATTTAAAAGATACTTTTTAAATTCAATAGATTAATAAGTCTATGCAAATTTAACTAGATATTTATCTTAAATTAATAATAAAAATTATGATGAGAATTAATTAATTTAATTAATATTTATTATCTTCTATTTAAGGTCTTTAAAATTATAAATTATTTAACTTTGATTGTTATATAAATTAGTTTATATTTTTTTTATCAAAATTTTAATAACATTTTTATAATTTTAAAATAAATGAAACATATTTAACTTTTATCTTAATATAAGATTATAATTTTTCATAAAAACTTATATTTAACCCTTTTAGTTTTAATTATAAATTTATAGTTCTTAGTATTAGTTATTTGTGAATTAAATAAAAGAATATTTAAAGTTTAATGTGTTTACATTTCTTTTCTTTAGTTACTATCTAGCATCTAGCTAGTATTATTTTTTAATTAATCATATTTAATAAAATATATCTAATTAATATATTTTTTTATTATTGGTATTTATATTTTATATAATATATGATTTCTTCATATATTATATAATATCTAATTACTTATTAACTGCTGTATTCATATTTTTTTAATTTAATAGTTTAAATTTTAATTATAAAATTATTTATATATGTTTTAATAAAATCATTAATATTTTTTAAAACATATTTATTATTTTATAAGATTTAGACTAATTATAAGTGATTTTAAATAATAAATCAAGTAATTTTGATATAGAAATAAAATAAACAAAAAAATGATTTTTTTTATATAATAAATAATGAATCACAAAATATTATATATAATTTTGTCTAAATAAAATACATAAAATATAAATTTTATAAAAAGTTTATTTTTGAAACAATTAACTATTTTAGTTATTAAAATTAAGAAAAAAATAATAATTTATATTATATGCATTAAAAGCAATACTTAGTTTAAAATTTTAAATATAATTATATTTTGCAAAGGTAATAGTTTTTTCTTTATGAAAATATAACATAATAAAAACTTATAATCAAAAATGGTTTAAATTATAATAATTATTAATTATAAAATCTATATTAAAATTTTGCTTTAATATATAAAATTTAATAAAAAAAAAATTATAAAGAAAATTTTATTTATAATAATTAATAAAATATAATTGGTTAAAAAGGGTTATACTTTTTAGAAAACTTTAGAAAAGAATGTATATGTATATAACTTTAGTTTTAGTTTTAGAAGAAACAGCTAATTAATCCGAATATCACTAAAAATAAAGCCTATATTTCAAATACATATTTGCTTATAATATTTTTTTCTTTTGCTTTTTAACCTTTTTTAGGTTTACAATTTAATTTTAAAGAAATTTCACAATTAAAAGTGGTATAGAGATTAATAATAGGATTGAATAATAATGATTACTTTTATAAAGTGTTAAGTGTCTCTGTTTTTTAAGACATAAAAAAATATGGGTGATGGAAAATATTAATAAGGGAGAGGTTAAGAAGATGGGTAACATAAGGGTGAGATTAATAAAAGAAACAAAATATCCTTAATATTATAAAATAATTATATTTTTTATATTTTATATATATGTATTAATTATTCGAAAATTATTATTTCAAAAAAAATAATAATAAATATTTTAAATAGAAATAAATAAATAATAATTTATAAAAAAAAATATAATAGAAATTTTAATTTAATAATAAGTATAAATATATATATAAAATAAATAATAACACTTATTATATAATTATTAATAATTAAAAATATAACCAAAGATAATATAATTTTTTAATTTATATATTATTATTTATTATAGAATAGTATATTTATTTATATATATTGTTAAGATGTAATTAATTTATAAATAATTAATTAGTTTTAAATATTATTTTTTGAAACTATTTTCAAACAAAATACAAAAATACAAATATTTATTATTTTCTTTTTATAATAATAAATTATATATAAAAATTTCTTTAAAAATATATTGTTCAATACACTTGAAATTTTATATCCTATAAATTAAGTGATGTTTTAATAAATAAAAATATTGTTATGGAATGAATTCAAAAATATATATTTAATATAATTATTAAAATATAAAATAATAAAAAATTTATTTTATTAGAATAAAATGAAATATTTATTATTAAACAAAATAGTTTAGTTATTCATTTTATAAGAAATAATATAGAAATTTTTATATTATTTTATAATTTATTTAAGAATAAAAAAATATATTGTAAAATTATATTTAATGTGATTGTAAATAATATATAAAATAATTTGCATTGTTTTAAAACTTGTGTATTTCTGATGATGATATTTATAATAATATAAAAATCCTAATAAAAATAATATTAATCAAATATTATATATATAATATTTTAAAATTATTTAATATATAATAAAAAAAATTAATTATTTATATTTAATGATAATTATAATTAAAAAAGTTATTATATAATTAAGAAAAATATTATTATTTAATTATTTTTAAGATTTTTTATTTATTTATTTATTTTTAATTTTTCTAAAAACATAATATTATAAAAAAGCCATAGTAATTTTACTTTCTTTTTTTTGTTTATTTATTGTATTTTTAAATAAAATTATATGAAATTTTTAAAAAAGATTTTAAATAAATATATATTAAATATAATTAAATATATTTTTTGTTTAAATAAAAAATAAAATAGATAGTGTTATATATTAAAATATAATTATTATTTAATAAAATATATAAATTAAATTTAATTACGTATTTTATATTTTGAATATGTATAAAAATAAAAAATAATTATATTTACATTAAATAATGCAATTTTATATAATCAATTATTATTAATTTTATTAAAATATAAATGTAATCTAAAACAATAAATATAATAATGAAATTTAAATTAATTAATAAAAAATATAAATTATAAATATTATAAGTTTTAAGAATATATAATAAATATTTTTTCTTTTTCAAAAAATTATATTTATTATTTTTCATTTTATTTATTTAATACTTAAATTTTTAATTATAAGCCTTTTATTGTTTTTCTATTAAAGAAAAAATATATATATTTATATAAAAATAATTTTGTAAAATAAAAAAACTATAATATAAAAATGCTTATTCAGTAATTTTGATTAAGATGATGCTAATAAATGTCGTTTTTAATTGATTATATAATGGAAGTAGTATTGTTTTAACTTGTTCAACATATACTTTATTAGGAGGATATGATGTGTGTGGATAACATTGTATTATAAAAAATTATTTTAAATAATCTAAACCCGTATATAATTATGTAGTATAATTTAAATATGCACTTCTTGATACATGGGATGACGAGTAATTAAATATTTATATAAATGGAAAAATAATAAAGTCCATTACAAAACAAAATAATAAAAATAATAATAATAATTTGTATGGATTAGCAAAGGGTGAAACAATTTAATAAATCATAATTAATCATTAAACTAACGATAAAGATATTGAAATTATATTTAGTACTACTTTAGATGAAGAGGCTTCTAATAAATCTTTTGGTATAAGAGAATTTTAAATTTTAGCTGATGAATGCATGGCTTAATGTACTGACTCTTTTTCTTGTTTTATAGGCTAGTAGGATAGTTTTCATGTGATTTATGCAAAAATGGATATTTTTATAATGATTTTTAATGTGTTTCAGCCTGTCCAAATAATAAATATAAAAATGTTTCGACTAGAACTTGCCATGATTGTGATAATAAATGTAAAACTTGTTCTGATGCAACCGATTGTGATACTTGCTTTCAGAATAAAGTTGCACCTGCTTGTGGATGTCCTGCTCATAATTATGATAACTTGAATTACTAATAAGCTTGTTTTGCATGTTCTGATATATCTGTTGGATGTTCTATTTGTGATGACAAAACTTGCTAAGCATGTTTAGCACCGCGTTTTTTAGATGGAAATTCATGTTTAAATCCTTGTCCTGCAGGCAAATGGGGTAATACGGCAAACAGATAATGCGAAAATTGTTTAGCTAAATGTGTAACTTGTTCTAACGACAATACTTGTGACACTTGTTTTGAAAATAGAGTTCCCTAATAATGTGACTGTCCTTAATATTCATATGATTCTTAAGTTTTCAATTAAGCCTGTACTATGTGTTCTACTTTTTCAACTGGATGTGCTACATGCAGTACAACTAAATGTCTTACATGTATAACTCCTTATTATTTTTAATTAACTCAACGGATAATGTGATTCATGCTTAATTATAATGACTAAAATCTATTTAGTGATGATT